CCGGTCCTATGTGCCCTTTCAATAATTACGCAACTTATATTTAGTTTTTCAAAAATACTTTTTCTTCAGATTGATTCCAACTTTAAGATTCAGATTCAGGTGTTCCTTCAAGCCGCAAATTGTTTCTTCTCAGCCGATCTTTTAGCTGTTGCAGCATATTTTTTTCTTCTGCATTAAATGCTACTTTTGTAACAATTTTTTCTTCTTTTTTTTTGTTTTTTCTTCTTAGATATTTATGTAATACTGTTTTCAATATCTTTTTTTTTTATCTTGAGAGAAAGTTTTCGATATCTTTTTTAAGTGTGTTCAATTTTTGAGACTGTCATTTGTTTTTACCAATTCAAAAAAATTTTCTTAAATTATTTTCATTTTGTAAAGTTTTGTAGGTTTTTTTAATTCCTGTTAATTATTTCAACAGTTCATCGATTCTTTCATTTGTAATTTTTAAATTACCAGTTGTAAGTTTGAGAATATTTTTTGCTGCTTTTTAAACATTTCAGAGAATCTCGAACTAATAACGCAGATATTTCTGAAGCTTCTGTGTTCTGAAGATTCTGTGTTCTAAAGCTTCTGTGTTCTGAAGCTTCTGTGTTCTGAAGCTTCTGTGTTCTGAAGTTTCTGTGTTCTGAAGCTTCTGTGTTCTGAAGCTTCTGTGTTCTGAAGCTTCTGTGTTCTGAAGCTTCTGTGTTCTGAAGCTTTTTTTTTTTTTTTTTTTTTTTTTTTTTTTTTTTTTTTTTTACAACTTCAATATACACTTCATTACGTTACAATTCTATCATATAATTTAATGCAAAGAGTAAAATATATAACATAACAGAATACGTAATTTAACAATTATAATAAAATATAACGTTAGATTAATAAACACTGTTTTTTTTTTTTTTTAATAAAAACTATTGTTTCTTCAAATATAAACATGTTGTTGTAAAGGAGACTCGCAGAAGACTATGAAGTCTTATCATCAAGTACCTTTTCAAGTGGTTAAATAAATTTAATTAATTTTTATATATAGTTAAAAGTGGTTAAACAATACACAGTCAGTGATACACATAAACATTTTAGTATAAATCTTGTTGTTAAGTTTAATACGTGTCAATAAAATTTTTGATATTAAGTATGAGGTGTTTTAATTTTTTTTTCAAGGTGGCAGAATTATTTAATGCTTTAAGTTCTATATTTTCGGATATTATTTTGTTATATAGGTACGGACCCCGGTAGGAAATAGAGAATCGTGAGAACTTTGTTGTTTTTTTTGGTAATGTGAAGTTCCCTGTTGCTCTTGTGGTATATCTATTAGAGTTAATTTGAAAAAAGTTATCTAAAAAATGCGATAGGACTAGTCCAAGATTGTATTTAAGCATGAAAAGAATATTTTGATAGATGTTGATTTGGTAAACATTCAGTGCATTTAGGGTTTTTAGTAAAGGTTCAGCATGGGTGAGTTTATATTTATTATAAACTAATCTTGATGCATGTTTTTGACTTAAATAAAGAGTATTTAACTTGGATTTGTGTGTACTTGCCCATGCAATATTAGCGTACGTAAGATAACTTTGGATGTAAGAAAAATAAAGAGATTTAAGATTATCTTGGGACAACATAGGTTTAACTTTGTAAAGTATCCCAATATTTTTTGAAATTTTGGTGTTTATTGTACTAATATGGGCTCTCCAAGTTATATTTTCGTCAATAAGTATCCCAAGAAATTTTGTTGTTTCTGTTCTTTTAATGTTTACCTTATCTATTTTTAGTGGGGGAAGTATAGTTGGTATATTATTTTTTTGTTTTTTGGAATGAAACAATATATATTTTGTTTTTTCTGTATTTAGTGATAACTTATTTAATTTCAACCAGATGTTTAATTTTTCAAGCTCTTTGTTCATACATTCATAAAGGTTTTTGATTGAGTTCGAGGAATAAAATAAATTTGTGTCGTCGGCAAACATTATAACATCAAGTTTTTTCGAGGTTTTTGTAAGGTCGTTAATATATAGAAGAAAGCTTCTGTGTTCTGAAGCTTCTGTGTTTGATTGAATTTCTTTTTAATCAGTATTTTAATTTTTTTCCATTTTATTTATGCATCAATTTGTTTTTATTTAAAAATAAATATTTATGTTTAATATATTTTTTTATAATTCCAAACAATCAAAAGATTAATTTTTTTTTAAAGTTACAACAACCACGCTGCAACCACGTCCGTTCACTTCCTTGTCTTACGCGAGTATGAGCTTTAAAATACCTACGGCTACTAAGTTGATAAATTAATCACTTTGAAAACATTAAATCAGAACTAGTAGTGTATGTTAACATTATGTTAACAATGTTAACATTATGTTAACAATGTTAACAATGTTAACATTGTTAACATTATGTTAACAATGTTAACATTATGTTAACAAGCTTAACATTATGTTCTCTTTAAAATTAATCTGTGTTTATTTACATTTGTTCGTTTTAAAATAGATAAATTTTGACGCATATTTTAAATTAAGACGCATATTTGTAAAGCTAAGTTAAATATGCTTCATTTATGGGGTTAGATATCCAAATTCCAGTAAATTATCCAGGATTTTTTGGTGTTTGAGATAACTTCCAGACATGGAGCAAACTCCAAACATTTGTATGTTTATACTTATGTCGAATAATCAAGCTTTACAAAAAATTGCAATGAATTGAATTTAAAAATTTATTTTATTAAAAATTAAAAACTATTAAATTAAAAACAAAAAAACAATTATTTAAATCGACTTATTTATAGCATAATATTGTTTTTTAAAACTCGTGAAATTCTTTTTATTTTTAATTTTTTTTAGGAGCAATGATTAAACAGATATAGTTAAGGAGCATACTCTCTGTCTTTAACCCCCTCTTTTACGAATCAGTACGTTTTTGGGAACCCCCTCTCCCCATACTTGCGTACATACTTTATGGAAGTCCCTCTGTAGTAATTATAAAAACTTGTTCTCCCTCAATTACAGAAAAACAGATTGAGGATACAATCTTATCACCTAAAAGCTCTAAAAAACTTTCTGAAATTTCAAAAATCCGAAAAAAAAAAAGAAAAAAAAGTTTGCTATTTGTCTAATTTGCAGAAAAATGTAAACAATCAAAAAAATCGGTTTAAGTTAAACCGATTTTTTAAACTTTAACCATATATTTTTATGATTAGAGACCGATTGAGATTTTATATTATATACGTATTATATATATATTTTATATTATATATTTATTTTATATACGTATTTTTTATTTTTTACAAGTAATTAGGTTTTTTTGCCTTTAGCATTAATCAAGATAAAATAGTGAGAAAAAAAAAAAAATAATAATAACTATAGAGCAATTGCATTCCGCGATATTGACAAGGCTCGACATGAATCTATAAAAGTATTTACGATAGGAGAAAACAAAAAAGTAAAAGATTGCGCTAATTATATTTAAATAAATACCTAAACAAACGACGTTCTCATTGGTGATCATCATCTATAAATAATAAACCTTTCCCATGGAGGTTTCGCTTTCTTGAGTTCAACTTTCAAACAACAACTGAGTTTAGCTGTCCACTAAAACTCTGCTAATATCTGTTTCCAACGATTCTTTTTTATGGTTTTCATATTTGTGTTCTGATATTTAATAAATCATTTGAACTCGTTTAACAAAAACTTAAGATAAAATTTTAATGATTAAATTAAGTTAGGTTATCCCGTAAATACTGCAATTATCTTGTAAATAATATAGTCGCCCTTAGCAACCTTTAGATAATTAGTTGTATTGAGAGATTTTTTTGATAAAAATGCAATTATTAAGTTTACTGTATTTTATTATTCATAAAAAATTGTTTAAATTATAAAAATATAATAATTAATGATTTTAAAACAAACTAAATTTTATTTAATCGAACATTTCTAAATTTTGGTTTTTAGATTACTAATCTAAACGATAAAAATTTTAACTTACACAAAATTTGTATTGATCTTTCTTAATCTTTAGAGAAAATGTTAGAAAAAAATTATTAGAAAAAAGTTTTTTTATACACACGTTTCAATCTAATTATTACAATTATTAATTAATCATTTTTTTCTTACTAAAAAAACTATAAAATGATAGTCCAATTTTGACTAAAAAAATAATATGCTTGAAATGACAAAGCAGAGTCAACTAAAAAAAGTAATATGTTTGGAATGACACACTAACTTTGACTAATTAAAGTTTAAAATAACAGACAATATTCTAACCAGAAAAAATAAATTAATAAAAAAAAATCACAATTCATATTAATGAAAGTTGTCTAGGAGCTATTTATAATGCGGCAATAATTAAAAATAAAATATGGAGACAATTGTTTATTTTAAAAATTTCATTTTTTCAGTTTTAGTCTTAAGAACTTTATTAGCCACGATAGTCGCGATATTCTTAAATTATGTCACGATAATCGCGATATTCTTAATATTATGTCACGATAATCGCGATATTCTTAATATTATGTCATTTTTAAACTTCAACCATCATAGAAGAAGTTTAGAAAGGAAATCTGGAAAAGATTATAAATCTAATTTTTATACATTATTACTCTATATAATAATAATAATAATTATTACTCCGTTGAAAAAGGTATTTAAAGTAAAAAAGCTTTAACATCAATTATTTACTATTGAATAAACAAATAATTTATCAAGTAGTAAAACTGTGAATAAGACTTGAAAACTTGTTTGCTCAATAATAAATAATTACCACTGCAGTGGCAAAAATGATTTTATGTTGTTTGGTTTGTTAAATGAAAACGTATCTTCAAATGCTTTACTAAAAATAAAACATGTTATCAATAATTAACATATAAATAAGCGCAGCATTAAATGAATATAGCTTAATATAATGGCGTAATAATATGGTGTAGTAATCATTGAAATTAAGAAGTTGGTTACCGTGAGCTCAATATCAAGGTTACAGATTTTGAAAATTTCAAGAAATTTATAACAAAAATGCCTAAGGTTTAAAAATTCAGATACAATTTTATCATTCTTTCATATAAAAACTCTTTAAAAATTTTTCATTTTAATTAAAAAAAAAACTGTAAATTAACACCATTCATTCTCGTCGTCTTCAGAATTAACAACAAGCATAGGGTTATACATATCTGGTCTTCGATCTGTAACCATTGCTATTTGAGAATTAATTTGAGAAATCATTTTTTCGTAATACTGTTGAGACGCTTCGTTCATATAGTCACCATCATTTAGTTGATAAAACTGAGATGGAACTTGAAACAAAAATATATATATATATTTATTATAATATCGCTTACTTATAACAAAATAACAACAACAACAAAAAGTAAAATTTAACAAATCTCTTTACCCGAAAGATTCGGAGATAACCGATCACGTTTATCAAAACGAGAATCTCTTCTAGTAACAAGTTGAGGTTTATAACATGAATCTGAAATTTCTTGAACGGAATGTCTTTGTGGCTGATTCTCAGTAATATATCGTTTATATGAATTATCCAGTTGTTTGTTTATTTTATAAGAATTATGAGATTTGTCATTTGACAATGACGTTTGGTCAGTAAGATCTCCGTATTCTTGAATGCAAGAGTCTGGAGGCAGACGATTATGTTCATAAAACCTGCAATTGCCACCGGGATCTAATTTATTATCTACGCGAGTCATGTTATCATAAACAACTTGATTGGGAATTTTATTTCTAGACTGAAAGTCTCTTCTTTCTTGTAAAATACCATCACTAACGCTATGGTAGTTTGTACCATACACTTGCTGGCCATTTGTGTATCTATAAGTCCTTTGAGAATCTGAAACACTTCTTTGTCTTTCAAAATCAGAAAAATCATTGTATTCATTTATTTTACCATTCAACCGATACTTAACTTCGGGATCCGATTTATAACTATTATGATTTATAAATGGAGAACTTTGATTAAAGCGTTCAGCATATGGAGAGTTACTAGGTTCAATATAGCCACGTGGCGTGTGATCAGAATATGCAAAAGAACCATTTTTTTTGTAAATGTTTGTTGAATTAGGATTAGCTTTAAGGGATGAAGGTGAGGAGTCTCTGTTTCTAGAATCTATATTCGAAAAATTTATAGGAATATTTCCATAAGAAGAACCTCTTGGTGTTGACGGGGCAGATATTGACTGCATGTTTCGAGAATGGTACTGATAGTGTTGCTTTTGTGCTGAGTTAACGTTTAAATTTTTATTATCGTCGTTTTGGAGTACTTGGTTATTTATTACACGCCTATGCACCGAGCCTATTCCACCAGAATTAGAGCGAGTTAGTAATTTTCCATTTGATATTGGACTTCTTCCAATTGCATTATATGACATATTTTTCGTTCCAGAAGACGAATATGTTGTATCAGGAGAAAGCGAGGCAGGAGATATCGATGTTGACAAATTTATTTTCTGTGAACAAAATGAAAATAAAATCTGAAAATTAATCTAATCAAGAAAAGAAAGATTTAAAGCTTACAGTAACATCATTGTTATTTTCCGATTTGATAGCTGCATCAATAGGTTTATCTCTCGATGACCCAAGTCGAAAAAAAGAAGAGACATCACCCCAAGAAGACCTTCTCCGAACTTGATTTCGTTCTTTTTTGGATATACTATTTTCTCTTGCCTGTCGGTGTTCGTGTTGGGCTCTACAAGAAAACAGTTAATAATAAAAGTAATTACGTGTGGCAAAATTTTTAGCATTAAATAAAATGCACTAAAATTAAAATGAAAAAATTCTGGACTTTTAATTATTATCAGACGTAGAAAGCCATGAAGTGAATGGAAAAACAAACAAATAAACAAAAAAAAAAACAAAAAAAAATATTTTATTCTTATTATTTAATTTAATTATAATATGACAATGTTTTAACCTTACCATAGCACACACACATACGGGCGTGCATAAATATATGATATACATTACATATATATATATATATATATATATATATATATATATATATATATATATATATATATATATATATATATATATATATATATATATATATATATATATATATATATATTATTATGTATATATATATATATATATATATATATATATATAATATATATATGTATATATATACACATACACTCATGTATATATATTTAACGTGAATATATACATACACATTATATATAAATATATATACATATGTACACACACATATATATATATTTAACGTGAATATACACGCTATACATATCTACATAAACACACTTTATATATAGTATAAATATATACATATGTATATGTGTGTGTATATATATATATATATATATATATATATATATATATATATATATATATATATATATATATATATATATATATATATATATATATAACGTTATATTTACGAGAAAACTTTTACTGCTTACGGAATTGATGCAAATTCGTTGATAGTGCTTCCTAGATCATTTATAAACTCTTTTATTTTTTGAAAACCTTGCATGTTTTTCATTTTCTTTACAAAAACTACCAAAACCAAAAATGAAAACAATTTTATATATTAAGAGCTTTTCCCTTGTGTTTTTCAATTTTTCATTTTTGATCGCAAAAAATTTATTTAAAATATTAATTCCCTCACAACTATTCTCAGTATAAAGCCACCTTGCGTTGAATACGTCAGGGGGTCTGCTTCTTATATTTAAATTTAAATGTCAGATAATAAGTGCAACTAAAAAAAGTAAAAAAAAAAACAACTACTTAGAATCATCTAAACCCAATAACCGATATATTAATATACATTACCATAGGCAACAAAACATACAATAATATATATTAAACATCGTTAAGAAAAACCCCCCGTTTTAAAATCGCTCAAATTTTAGAGCAAACAAATGAATATTGGTTTATTGCAAAGAGCAAAAAAAACGCAAATAATATATGTAATAATAAGATGAATCATTTGAAAAAGTATAGAAGAAAATTACACTGCAGCGATAACTTTTTTTTAGTTTATATTTTATTTAGTACTGATATTTTTGCCACATATTTTTATCGCATGTACCGATTTTTATCGCATGTACCGATTTTCTATCACATTTTACCGATTTCATTTTGAAAACAATGAAGTTTTCGACTTTAATATAAAAAGAACTGATTTCAATAATTTTACCAAAAAATTCAAATATCAATTTATGAAAGGTAATAATAGGTCAAAATAATTTACTAAATTTTGATCATACTTAAAACAGTACATGTGTCTGGATTTAAATTAATATGTGAAATCACCATAACCGTGCATTAACACTGCAGGGTATAGTCTTTACAAAACGATATAAAAAATTTAAAACTAAATTTATTAGCGTTTTTTTAAAAAAATAAATAAATAAATAACAATATCCTTAATACTAATTTTTAATTTGATTTTACTTTTTTCTTTTCTTTTCAATCATGGACTCATAATCACATTTTAAAATATTTGGAAATACTGTTATCACTCATTTCAAAAAAAGACGAAAAAAAAAAAAAAAAAAAAAAATAACAACAACATAAAATTAAGTAAAAATCAGGTGCTACTAAATAATGCAACGTGTAAATCTTTATAACAAAACTCCTAAAAAAAATATAAAAAATCTATTACAAACTTCAAATGAACAACAACAAAAAAGAATCCATTTGAAAGAGTTTAACTCTTTTCCAATTCTTCTATCCTATAGAAGAATTGGAAGAAGGTATCTCAACCTATTGATATTCAGCGGGAATGTGTAACTTCTTTTATTTCGTTGAATCTCCAAATGTTGCTTTAAATTTTTTCTAAATATTTACTAGGTAACGTATTTTTTATATAATAATAATTAAAAATTTACATTAAAATAGCTTAAAAAAAAAAGCAAAAAATAATCGTAAAAGTAAAAAAATAAAATAATTAAGAGCTCATAAAAACATTCTTTTCGTTTATGATGGAATTAAGACTGGAATTTAATATGAAAAACGAAGAGTGCGAAAGCAATATAAGACGCCTTAAGAGACGCCTAAGCATGCGTTTCTATATTTCTATATATATATATATATATATATATATATATATATATATATATATATATATATATATATATATATATATATATATATATATATATATATATATATATATATATATATATATATATATATATATATACATATATATATATATACATATATATATATATACATACATATATATATATATATATATATATATAAATATGTATGTATATATATATACATATATAAATACATATATATATAAATATGTATGTATATATATATATATATATATACATATATATATATATATATATATATATATATATATATATATATATATATATATATATATATATATATATATATATATATATATATATATATATATATATATATATATATATATATGTATATATGAAAAAAACTATTTTTCATAAAAGTTGAGCAATGGAACAAAAAAATTTTTAGTTACAATTTTAAATAAAACGGTTTTATTTTTTTGGCAAGCGCTTTTTTATGCGCTCGCCATATATATATATATATATATATATATATATATATATATATATATATATATATATATATATATATATATATATATATATATATATATATAATATATACACACACACTCACATACATTAAATCACAGTGATTTGCAGGCTTCAATCACTGTGATTTAATCTAATTATCCCTATTTCATGCCAGTATGAACATATATTACAAAAATAAACCATATAGATCCATATCAATAAAAATACAGATCAAAAGAAAATGAAAAGTCCATTAAAACATAGCTATATAGCATTAAACTTTGTTATAAACGTTTGTTATATAAACTTAAGCTTATTTCCAATAATTAAAAAAAATAAATGCTTTTGTTGCAATTGTTTTTGGAACAATGTTCTAGAAATTCAGAAAAAATAAAAATGTATTTTGTATTTAAATATGTTAGAAAATACTTCTACAATTTTATAAATAAATTTTACGATTTTACTGTAAGCGGTATTTTAATTAAGTTAATTAAATATTCAGAAACCTTCATACTTAGTAAATGCTCCTGAAAATGTAACATTTCTCCCGGCTCCAACAACTTTTGAAGTCGTTTCAAAATTGTGTTCGGAATAAGAATCATTGGATGGTTTGTGAAGCATAAAACCAGGAAGTAGTGAATGAATTCGTCCGATGACTGAATGCGAATTAATCTTAAAAAAACAACATAAAACAAAAACAAAAAACAAACAACAAAAATAGCAAGTTATAACATGATTTAAAAAAGATTTATAAGATTATAACATTATTAAAAACAAACCGGAACGGCTTCTTGTTGCAGAGAATTACGATTACTTCTTCCTTTGGACTTTTGGAAATTCATGACAAACAGTTTTATGCAAAAATATTTCCCAACTGTCAACTGGTTTTTATCTAATAATGAAAGAAGGGGATAGTTAAATATATATCCCACGGTTCTAAGCAGAAAATATGAATTAAGTCTAAATTTATTTTTATAACATTTTTTAACGTAGTAGAAGAATGGTTTTGCTATTTCAACTCAATTAAAGCAGCTGATTTTAAATAATTAATAAGATATAATATACAAACAACGACCCCTTTAATAATAGATTTTCTGGTTGGAACACAACGACCCTTTTAATAATGCATTATGTATTTTTACGAGGTTTAATTTTTATTTATTTTTCAAAAAATATAGGGAAAATAATATAGAATTGTTTTTTCAAAATTAGAGTAGTTACATCGTATTGAATTTTGATTTTTTAAATTAAGAGAAATTATTATTATTAAAAGTTTTAAAAATATATATTGTAAATATTTATGTGTATTTAATCAGTTCAAAAAAATTTGTTTGAACGATTGAAAACAAAATTAATATTAATAAAAAATTTATTTGTTAATTGTTTTGAAATGAGAGAAGGCACTTTATTCAAAGTACACCAAAGCATGATTTATAAAAATAATATTAAAACAATGAATTTAACACCGTACTCAACTGATCTTAACCCGAAATTGTTTGAAGTTGATAAAGAATTATTAAAGTAACTTATAGCTAATCTTGAAAAATTAAAATTTGAGAGTACTAGATTAAAAAATTCCAGAAAATTTTTTTTTTAAATTTAGTAGACACTACGAAGAGAATAGCCTGTTGTATTCTAGCTAATGGTGGACACGTGTTGCTTGATGCATCTAAATTATTAAAAAAATGTACTTATAGTCAATAAAAATGTCTTTAATTTTTAAATTTTATGTTTTTTATACTAAAAACGTGAACGTAATTTTATAATGAGTAAATAGGCAAAAAAAAAAAAAAAAAAAAAAAAACTTTGTTGTGAAAGTTTTTTTTTAATAATTTTTATTTAAAATTTTGAACTTCTTTACTTTTGTTTTAATTGCTTGAGTTTTGTTCTTATTTAAAATATTTTAAGTCAAGTTTAATAATAAAAAAAACCATCTTCTGAATTAAGTTAGCAACTTCTAAAAAAAATAGGTTTTAAAATTTTTTAAATAGGTTTTAAAAATTTTTAAATTTAAAAAAAATTAAATGAAAGTTACCAAACAAAAAAAAAAACTAAATTTATGAAAAAAAAAAAAGCAAACGCTGTTATGTAAAATGTTTGATTAGTTTAACCTGTTAAATCTGGGAAGAATTTATCAAGAGTTTTCAAAGTAATGTTTGGCCACAGAAATTTGATAGTTGCCTTTAAACTGTTATCACTTTCATAGGGATCACCTTTTGAACAAATCTTTAAACCAACGCGAACTAATGACATCAAAGTCGTATAAAAAGATACGCCACCGTCGGAATTCACCGGCATGTTCATGCGGATCAGACGCTAAAACAAAGCATTATTTAACCTATAACAACTATTAAAACAAAGTTAATAATATTGTTATAACGAATACTAATTTAGATATTAATATGTAAATTAATATACTCAGGGCATATATATATAAAAAAATGCAAATACTAAGATGTAATAAAAAACAATTGTAAAACAATAAATATAATAAACGCACAACAGCCTAAAGTAAAATTGTAAATATAGATAATATAAATAATAGAGTCCGAAATATTTTCCTTATATTTCTGATCTGCGTTTTATTTCTTACAACTTTATTTTGTTAAGATTTTTCCTGTATAAAAAATCTATTGAGTTTTCCACAGACAACTGACCAAAAGTATTTAATAATAGATAAAATTTTTTACATTAAGATAATTATTACCCATTAGATAAGTATATATACAGCCCTCAGAATCAGGAAAATAGAGGTCGGCAATAATTTGCCGACCTTAATCTGTTAGAGGTCGGCATCAGGTCAGCATTTGGTACGAAGGTTTTACTATAAAATATAGAAATGGGGTCGGCGATTTTTTGCCGATCTTAAACACTTCTAGTTCGGCAGTTAGTACGGCATTGCCGAATGCCGACCCTAATTCCGAGGGCTATATATATATATATATATATATATATATATATATATATATATATATATATATATATATATATATATATATATATATATATATATATATATATATATATATATATATATTTATATATATATATATAATATATATATATATATATATATATATATATATATATATATAGGATAAAGGAGTCTAATACTGCCGGCGGCTTATACCACCATTTCATTTTTTAAAGTTGGCTTAAAGAATATTTAGTTGCGCAATTTAGGAAACATTGTCAGAACTTCTTAGATAAATCATTTTTTAATTATAACACATCATATTTCTTGAACTTTCGCCCATTTTATTGTGGTTTTGAGTCATTCGCAATTATTCTATACAATGTAGAGAGAATTTTAGACCATTCTTTTTTTATCATTGGTCGAAAAAGTATCGTTTCTATTTATACTTACTTAAAACAATCAATTTTCTATTGTTATTTTTGTTTATTTATGTGCCCAATACATTATCTGATTTTTGTAAGTAAGCAATATTCACAATGTATTCAAAAACAATCCGTTTTACATAAAACATTGATATCTGCAGCCGTATTCTCACCTCTCCGTTAAGCTTAACGGAGCGTTTGTCAAAAATTTCATTACAACATTTTTAACTAAAGAAATGACAAAAACTTAATTTAAATTTGTTTAAATGAAACTAAGACTAAAATAAAACAATTTTATTTAAAAAATTATTTTTTTAAAGAATTTTTTTTATTAATGTAGTTAAAAAGAACTTTTTGACAAATGCTCCGTTAAGCTTAACGGAGAGATGACAATACGGCCACTGGCCAATATCGCTAGACTGGAATGGGCTAATAACGCCACATGTTTATTTTGATTTTCGATATTGAGATTTTGTGTATATGTGTTGTAATTGCAATTGAAGCTTGTAATTTAATGTTTTTGCTCTCAAATTTACTTTCAACTACTGTAATTTAATGTTGAAGTTTAAAAAAATGAAACAATAAACGTAAATTTTTTAAAAATATTTATATTTATATAAATTCTTTATAAATTCGTAAATTCTTTAAAAATATTATTTAAGTTGCTGCGCTAACTGAATCAGTTAACGCAAAAATGACTGTTTCGGTAATACCTTTTCCTTTTAAATGCACTTTTGTTATTGTTATCTTTTCACAACCTCATTATTTTGTTGTTTTAAACTTAAGGATGTTTATAAATTTTTCAATTAATTTAAAAAATTTTGTTAGAAAACTTGTCAAATACTATTTTTGTTTGTTTTAGAATGACTAAAGCTAAAAAAATAACTATTAGAGCAAAATGGAAAAATTTAAAATCAGAGGATTTAAAAAAGGCACTAGTTGTAAAAGGCACTAGTCTGTTAGAACTGGAAATCAAGTAGCGGCAGCATCGCGAGATTATAACATTCATTAAGAAAAGGAAAAGGATAGATCACCAAAACGTAAACTAGGTTGAAAGTGCATTATTCCCGAAACAGTAGAATCTGAGTTGAAGCAAAGAGTATTTCGTCTTCAGAAAATAGGATTTGGTATAACAAGAATACAACTTAGAAAATGTGAATATGAATTATGTACTCAAAAAAGTCTGCCACATCGTTTCAAGAATAAAATTGCTGGTACTTATTTTAATAGTTTTTAATTTTTATCTTATATTCGAATTTAAAAAAATTAATCAAAATCAGTTTTGTCCATATATTTAAAAAAAAACATCAAAATTAAAATAACTATACTAATGAAATAAATAATTTCAGGCAAAGATTGGCTTGCAGAATTTCTCAGGTGCCTTCTTGATATTGCTCCTAGGAAATGTGAAAGTATAAGTTATGGTAGGCTAATGCAATTCAATGCTGAAACTGTTCAAAGCTTTTACAATCTTGTCTACAAAAAGTCTACAAAAAACTACATTTGACACACTATCCTGAACTGATTTACAACGTCAATGGGTTGCAATTAACAATGACTGGCACTCATGTAGCAATGGTGAAAAAAGGAGCAAAGCATGTACACACAGCTACTCATGCAGATAGACGAGAAACTGTTACTGTAGTTGCATGTACAAATGCTACTGGAACTAAATGAATTCCACCTATGATTTTGTATAAAGGAAAAAATTCAAAACATGAGTACGGGGATAATTTGCCACCTAAAAGTATTTTTTGCATGACTCCAAAAGGATATATTACTAAGGAAGAATTTTGTACTTTTTTGCGTCATTTTAACCAGCACCGATTACTTTGTTGATTTTCGACGGACAACGTAGTAATTTGGATATTGCTGTGATAGAGGAAGCCGAAAAGTTAAACATTTATATGCTTTGTCTTCCAGCACATTCTAGTCACGAACCTCAACCTCTGGACAAAGCGTTTTCCAACCATTAAAAACTTACTGGAATGTTTCCATTGATAATTTCCGAAGAAACTTTTCTGGATGATCACTGTCAAAACTGCAATTTCCACTATTATTTACTGAAGCATGGTTGCGTACCGCTACACCAGCAAATGCCATATCAGGATTCAGATCAACAGAAATCAATCCTTTCAACCCTAATATTAATACTTTTAATACTTTGGAACCTGGATCTAGTATCCGTTTAATAATTCCATCACCTAAAATAATTAGAAAAGTAAAAACTAGAAGATCATTAAAGTGCTGTTGTTGTCATTCGAAATTTAGTTGCGGATAAAATAACTGAAACGCCCAGGCCAAGTCAAACAAAAATTTTGAAAAAAACTCGAAAATCATCAAAAAAGTGAAGTAAGATACGTTTTGTGGTGATTGCAGACTCTTTTACAACGGCAAAAGAAAAAAAGAGAATTGGTGGCACAGGAAGCATCATAAAAAGTGGCCTATGCACCATGTGTAAAGTCGGGTGTATATTAAGAAGCGAAAGTACATAAATACATATATATATATATATATATATATATATATATATATATATATATATATATATATATATATATATATATATATATATATATATATATATATATATATATATATATACTCACACACACTAATATTTTGCCACAAAAGTGAATATAAACTTGCATATAACTTAATGATTACCACCGACTAACACATAAATTAACTATTTTTTTCATCTGATTTAGGGAGTTTTTAATAATTTGAATCAAATGACTCAACAACTTGCTAACATATTAAAAAAATATTTATGACTATAAAGTATTTATTTTTATAAAACACTTATTTAAAAATATTAACGAATAAAATTTTAATAAATTAATATAGTTGTTTAAATCTTGCTACTTTTATGTTAAATGTTTAACTTAATTGGATGACTTGCAAAAACAGCAAGAACTAATGAAAAATTAAAAACCAAAAACATGACTTCATGTGTGTAGAAGATTTTAAGATAAATATTTACTAGAAATTATTCACCCATCCAATGACTTTTTAAAAAATTAATCAATAAGATTATTGCTGCAATTCTCTCGATAAGTGTAACCCCATGTCTTCTGCATCCGTTCTCAATAATAAAGTAAACTTTTTCTAAGGTTTTTACCAGGAACCAAATATGTAAGAATACTTTAGGCAATATATAATAATAAATATTTGCCTTAAATTTGGCTTAAATTTAAGAAACTTCAGGTCGTTTTCAAAAAGTTTTTTATATATATGTGTGTATAATAGAATTTAAATTGCTTTTTATTACATTCCCTTTATATCAGTGAAAAAAAGGCTGGTCACCCTAAAAATAAAACAAATGTTGTAAATGTGTACATGTCTCTTTCAACTGCGTAAATGGGCATTATTTATTACAAAATTTTAAAACTTCAAGATGTTAAAAACAAAAAAAATTAAAAAAATCAAGCTTTAGGAAAAAATAATGAAAAAAATAGGCAAAATTTTATACTCTTGAACACCATCTATTACAAATTTTATTTTAATAATTAAATTAGTATTAAATAAAAATAAATAAATAAATAAAACGAAATAAAGTTATATAAAATAATACCTTGTAGGCAATAGCTTTAGGGCATTTCACACCAAATCCAATAGGAGGTGATATGTAGCTCATCAATTCATAGAGTTTATCATGAGATATATATCCTCTAAATAAATATCATTACAGTATTAGTAACATGTTCAAAAAAATGTCTTAAAAATGTAAATGTCCTTTGCAACTCAAATAATTTTTTTTTAATTTCACCAATAAATAACAACAAAACTGAAACAATTTGAGGTAATATTGATGATTTTAGACTTGCATATGTATGTATATATATATATATATATATATATATATATATATATATATATATATATATATATATATATATATATATATATATATACATAATATATATATATATATATATATATATTTATACATATATATAATCTTTGAAAGTCATTTTCTTGTTATATATTAAAATATGGTTAGAATTCAATAAATACGGCTGCGTATAAACTTTTTTTAAATATATATATATTTATTTCGATATTTCACTGTTCCATCGTGATGGAACAGTGTCATCAGGTATAATAAATCATGTCATCAGGTATAATAAATAAAATAGCTACAAAAAAATTGTTATAGTAAAAACAAATCATTAAAAAGATAACACTAAAAAGCCAAAATATCATACAAAAAAACTTTTCAAATAACTGACCTCAGCAGATTTTATTAAAAATGGCCCCCAGGTTTTAGTTTTTACGTTATCACCGTTATTCCGATTGAGAACCACATCACTTTTTCTCAACTCCTGTCGAACCCTAGCTTTGCTTATTTCGAGTGGCTCTCTGATTTTTTAAGTTCGATATTCTGGGGCTACAGACAATGTTTTGGGGTGCAACCATTCAAACTTACCATGGCATGTTTTAGAATGTTCAGTTGCACCCGAACTGGACCATTTTTCTTTTAAGCTGTTTTTATGGTGTTCAATACATCTCGATATCACCTTCTTTTTAGTTTCGCCACTGTATATCAAACTGCATGAACATATTAGCTGGTATACGCCAGGGTCTGTGTTTAGAGGTAGTTTAGTTTTATTGTTGCAAAAAATATTTTTTAAATTGGGAGTTGATGCAAAAATAACCTTTATGTTTTGCTTCCGAAATTCTTTGAAAAGTTTTTGACCAACAATTGGTATCCAAGGTAGTTTTATAAAGAGTTGGGCATCTAATGGTTGAAATGTGGTGTTTTTTGAACCGTTTTTTAAATAGTCTATAGTAATACTGTTTAGAATGTTTTTGTCATGGCCATTTTCAACAAAGATGTCTATTAGAAAATCAATTTTCTTTTGAAGGTGTTGTAAGAGCATATTTTGCACGACATAAAAATCCTTTGAAAACGCCAATAATAATGTTAGGATAAATGTTCGAGGTTTAAGTTGAACATTTGTAATAGCTTCTTTTTGAAATTATAGTATTTGAAATTCATAAGCTCCAGAGCCTGTGTTTGTAATATTAATATCTAGGAAATTGAGTTGTTTGAGGTCGTTTTCAAGCTCCACTGCATATTTTATAGCAGGATGTTGTTCATTAGGGATGTTCAGAAACATTTGTTGTGGTTTTATTGAAGCAAAGCAAGCGTGACAATCATCTACATATCTTTTGTAAAATTTGGTTCGGATATATGAATAATTGCTATGTTAAGGGCTTTTCTTTCTATATTTTGTAAAAACGCTTCCGCCATAACAACCATTATATATAAACCTATAGGATCTGAATTAAGTATTATTTGGATATTGTTTTCATATAAAAAATAGCATATACTTAATAAAAGCTCAATTAATTGGTGTATGTCTGCAAGAGTAAGTTTAGTTCGAGTTTTTAAGTCATCAATGTCACGTTCAATATATCAATAATAACTGGAATTGCTTCGACAATGGGTATGGATGGATATAAATTGACTATATCAAATGAAACTTGAATTTAGTTAGGATCCATTATCCATTGCTTAGCTTCATTTACAAAGCTATTAGAATTCATAAGTCTACTTTTATGTTTATAATTGTTGGTCCAAAACTTCGTAAAGAATTTTGAAATCAAAACATAAAGGTTATTTTCACATCAACTCCTAATTTAAAAAATATTTTTTGCAACAATAAAACTAAACAACCATTAAACACAGACCCTGGCGTATACCAGCTAAAATATTCATGCGGTTCGATATACATTAGCGAAACTAAAAAGAAGGTGATATCGAGATGTATTGAACACCATAAAAACAGCTTAAAGGAAAAATGGTCCAGTTCGGGTGCAACTGAACACTCTAAAATATGCCATGGTAAGTTTGATTGGTTGCACCCCAAAACATTGTCTGTAGCCCCAGAATATCGAACTTAGAAAATCAGAGAGCCACTTGAAATAAGCAAAGCTAGGGTTCGAGAGGAGTTGAGAAATGGTGATGTGGTTCTCAATCGGAATGACGGTGATAATGTGACAACTAAAACCTGGGGGCCATTTTTAATAAAATCTGCTGAGGTCAGTTATTTGAAAATTTTTTTGTATTATATTTTGGCTTTTTAGTGTAATCTTTTTAACGGTTTGTTTTTACTATAACGATTTTTTTGTAAATATTTTATTTATTATACCTGATGATGTGATCACGATAGATCAGCGAAATATCGAAATAATTATATATTAAAGACATACTTGATAGCAACCAAAGAAAAACAAAATTATTAGCTAATCATTGGTGTCAAAAAAGATGAGGAATTAATTTATTATTTAGAAAAATTTTTAAGAATGAATAAAGCTTTCCTTCTCATTCTTTTTGTCAGTGCTTCAGTCTTCTCCAGTTACTGTACTAAGAATTCTTTTTCTGATGGAATAGGATTATTTTTGATTGAGTAATTAAAGTTTAATTTCTCCATTGTGTAAACGACTTGGAGAAGAGTGCTCAACTAGTGGTAAAGCCTGGATTAAAAAAAGTAGAGGTTTATTTGATATCACCATGGGAGCCTTTGATGGCCCAGAAGTCTGTGAGTTGGAATATCTTGTTACAATTATGACAGTCTTACAACAAAGATGAATTTGGATCGTATAAAGATGATGGTCTAGCAGTGTTTAAGAACCGGAGTAGCCAATAAATGGAAAAAATTAAAAAGCACTTTGTGAGGATTTTTAAAAATAATGATCTTCTTATATGCATCAGCTGTAATTTTAAAGTTGTTAATTATCTGGACTTAATGTTAAATCTTAATGACAGTTCTTTCCAACCTTACTGCAAGCCTGGTAATTCCATCAGATATGCTGACTCTAACCACCCTTCTAGCATACTAAAAAGTCTTCCTTAAACTATCGAACTAAGATTCTCAACCAATTCTACTGACAAAAATATTTCGGTAAAAAAAAATAACAGTATATAAACATTTCTCCTCCTTATCAACAGGATAAGGAGGAGAAATCCATTTCTCCTTATCAAGATGCATGATTTAAATCAGGTTTTATCTGCTTACCATTCGAATAAGAAACCAGTCCCATTCAAAAATCACAAACGAAACATAATCTGGTACAACCCATCTTTCAATGTTGCGACTAAAAAAAGCAGTGGTTTTTTGAACATGGTAAACCTACACCTTCAGGTTGGTCACAAACTTTGTAAGATATTTAATTGAAATACTATTAAAACAAGCTACTCATATAAGCTACCCAAACCATCATTAATTTGCACAATTACAGGATATTATATAACCAAGGTAAAGCTGAGGGAAAATCAAACAACTGTCAAAAAAATCCACCTGCCACATAAACAAAATGTTTGCGCCCTCAATTAAGTAGAAAATTGTGAAACATAGCAACCCTTATAACTCTTTGTCAAAAATTTGCAATCTTTGCTTATATGAAAAAATCCTTATTTTAACATATAAAGATGAAAACTTGTTAAATAAACGAAATGAGTTGATTTCAAAATACAGGCACAAGAATAAATTTCTCTTATCTTTTTTTGACACCGGTAATTAGCTAATAATTTTGTTTTTCTTTGGTTGCTATTAAGTATGTCTTTTAACAACGTTAAGATCCCACTATACAGTATGTTATAATTTTTCACAGTTTTTTTTGTTTTTGATTTTATATCTAATAGGTGATTGCTGTATAGGCATGAAACTTAAAATACCGTAGAAAAAATTGTTTTTTTTTGTTAATATATATATATATATATATAAATATATATATATATATATATATATATATATATATATATATATATATATATATATATATATATATATATACATATATGTATATACAAATATATATATTTAAATTTAGCTGTGCATAGGTATCTGTGTGAGCTTCAATACAGTAACTTAAAGTTTATACATTCAATGTACCTATGTCTATAATAAACAAAAACAAAACTATAATAAACACTTTATTTTACATTTGAATTTTCAATCTGAAAGACGCAAGTTGGTTGGGTTGGTTAAGTATAAATTTATACAAAATTTAAAATTAATGCATAATTATTAATTACATACGTTGCCTGAGGGTCAAACTGTGACCAACATCTAACAAAATCTTTTAAGTCATGTGAGCCAAATATAGAACTGTCGCGTGTTAAATATTCAAAATTATCCATGATAACAGCAACAAACAAATTTAAAAGCTAAAAATAAGATGAGAAAATTTTTCATCATTTTCTTTTTTGCCTAAATTGTTTTTCTTTTTTGTTTAGACTTATAAATTAAAGTGAACTGTTAGTATCATGTAGATATAATCTACAACTGTAGTATATAAATGTACCATATATATATATATATATATATATATATATATATATATATATATATATATATATATATATATATATATATATATATATATATATATATATATATATATATATATATATATAAATATATATATAAATATATATATATATATATATATATATATATATATATATATATATATATATATATATATATATACTATATATATATATATATATACAAATGTATATATATATATACAAATGTATATATGTATATACAAATGTATATATATATACAAATGTATATATATATATATATATATATATATATACATATATATATATATATATATATATATATATATATATATAATAGTATAAAAGAAAAATTCATATTCTAGTCTAAATATTTAATAAAATACTTACAAAAAACATAGAAATAAACATGTAGGACATAAAGTAAATTCTAGCCAAAATAGTGCTACCACAGTTTGGAACATCATTATAATGGGATGCATATCTTTCTTCACAATCAGCATTATCATAACATTCATACATTATTACGCTCCAATTATCACCAGTAGAGCACCTTTTAGACATTTTAAATTACAAAATTTTCTACTTTGTTCTTTATTGATTGATAAAGTATTAATTAAAAAATACCTAAATAAAAGTAATAAAGCTCTATAGATATTGCGAAAGTTATTCTTCTCAGTCAAAGCTTCTTTGAATTTGATGTTGCCAAACAACTAAATAAAAAAGGTATAAAGCAACAAAACAAAAATAAAAATGAGAGAAAATAAATAAAATATATAAAAACTAGCGAAATTTTTCTTCTTTATATAACTTAAAGCTATTATAAACTAGAAAATTTTAAATTTATTCAAAATAAAATTTATTTCCATTTCTCAAATTGCTTCACCAATGACCACCCATAACCATCCATCTAAAATCCAGTTTTTGTTGCTATTATATATCTTCTATAGGTTTCCAAGGTTTTTCTACCTTGTTATTAAAAGTAAAAGTAAAAAAAAAATTTTTTTTACTTTTTTAGTTTATTGAAGTTTATTGAAGCCTTATATTTTGCATTTGAGTTTATATTTGTTATATTTATATCATAAGTTTATATTTAATTTTTTCAGATTTTAAAAATTTTAAAAATTTTAAAAAGACTGCTTAGGATGATAATCACTTATTTGATTTTCGAAACATTTTGAGAACCACTGAATCAATTTTGAGAACTTTTGTTTTTGTTTTAAAGCAAATTTATCTTCTATTAAATAATATAATAGTAGTTTAAAAAAAAATTGATTGTAACCAAAGAAAGTAGAAGCAGCAAGAAAATTTATTTTAGACAAATGGCTTTTAAATTGTAATGTTTCAATTTACTTGGTATCAAAAAAGTGTACAGTTCAAAAAAAATTGTCTATTGGAAAAACCATATAGTGAAGGTAGTTGATTGGAAAGTGGAAAATCCAAGAATGATATCCATCACATTTAAACTTGTTCAAAAAGTGACCATAGGGATCAATGCAAATCTAGTATAGTTTGTTTAGGATATCGAAAAAAAAAACTGGGGTTCTTTAATTAACAATTTAAAACGAATTTTATAAATTTCCTGAAACATCCCAACAGTAATTCAGACCAAAAATGCAGTTAAAGGAAAAAAGCTTCAAAAAAATCAAAAGTGTACCATTATTTTTTATTATTAAAAAGCAAAAAAACTTTTAACTTGAAAATCTGCAAAATATATAAATAATGCAAACATGATCAGAAAAAAAAAAAAAGAATTCCAAAATGCTGTTATTATTATGTTGTTATTAATAATGCAAATAGCAAAACTCTTTATAGTAATTAATATGATACAAACTAATATGATCATAAAGTACACAAGCAAACTAATATAATACAAGGTACACAAGCAAACTAATATAATACAAGGTACACAAGCAAACTAATATAATACAAGGTACACAAGCAAACAGGTGCAAAAACATAACACAAAGGTGCAAAAGCAAACACAAGTTGACACAAGATATACAAGAAAACAAACACGACACCTTAGATAAACAGACAAAATATTATGATTACACAAACAAACTAACATGATACAAAGTAACAGGCAAACTAATATAGCACAAAGAAACTTCAAACATTTTTATAAAAACATTTTAAAACTTTCTTACCTGAATTCCAATTAATGCATAAACATAAGAAGTAAGTATAATTAGACCAATAACATATGGCAAAGCCTTAAAAAAAGATGTTTTAAATAATTAGCTAGTATTTTTAAAAAGGTTTAGCATAAAGCACAAAGATCAAAGCATAAAGACAAAGTTTAACCTTATCTCTTCCACTAACACAACCGCTGACAGCGGTTGTGTTAGTGATAAAAAAACTGCTGACAGCAGCTTTTGATTTTTAAAATTTTTTACCACAAGCCACTGGTAGGGGCTTTCACAATTTATCCTTTTTTAATTCTAAACACATATAATTTGTTTGTAACTAAAGTTTAATTAATTCTTTACATAATCAATAACAAATAAGACCCATATTGCTTTAATTTATTTTAAATTTAAATAAATTTATAAAATTTTTAAATTTATTTAAATTTAAAATAAAATTAAAGCAATATGGGTCTTATTTGTATATGGGTCATATATCAATATGGGTCTTATTCACACAACTATAGAAGCACATTTAGATCGGCAATCTGACATTGGAACTGTGTACATACATTGACTGATATAGGGAGAAACTGAAATGCTACATTGACTGAGTTTTTGGATTGGGAGCAATAAGATTTTTTCATTTTCTTCTTTTTACAAAAATTCTTTATAGATTTAAGTTCGAAAAAAAAGTAAGTTAAATTGTTTGCCTATATACGCAACAGTAAATATATAATTTTTTTTTTCCATAAACTATCGTTTCAAATTGAATGCTAATAAACCAAATAAAAAAAAATGTAAGAACTTGAAAACAATTATTCTTTAAATTGATAGGTTGCCCTCATAAAAACACAACCCTTATTCAATGCATGTAAACTTCCTATTTAAGTAAGTTAAAGGATGTACACTCTGCTGCTTGTTCTTTCTATTTAAAACAGTTGATGTATGTTCTCCCCAGTGCGGTTATCTATAAATAAATTAGGGTTAGGTTTGGAAGTTAGGGTAACCTTTCAATAAAATATAAATTAAAAAAAATAATAATATTATTAATAAAATAAATATAAAAATAGTAAAAAATGTTAAAAAAACAAAAATCTTTAGTTGAAAAAAATTTCTAGTCATATTTTTTGCAGCTTTTTAAAAAATGATTAAATTATTCAATTTTCACAATTTAATTATTCTAACATTTAGATAACTATTAAAAGTTAAAACTAAGCATCAAAAGATACAGTTGTTTACGCATATATATATATATATATATATATATATATATATATATATATATATATATAATAAAAACTGTTTACTCAACTAGATAATAATGCTCAACTTAGTAGTAGTAGTAGTAGTAGTAGTAGTAGTAGTAGTAGTAATAATAATAGTAGTAGTTGTAGTAGTAGTAGTAGTAGTAGTAGTAGTAGTAGTAGTAGTAGTAATAATAGTAGTAATTGTAGTAGTAGTAGTAGTAGTAGTAGTAGTAGTAATAATAGTAGTAGTTGTAGTAGTAGTAGAAGTAGTAGTAGTAGTAGTAGTAGTAGTAGTAGTAGTAGTAATAGTAGTAGTAATAATAGTAGTAGTAGTAGTAGTAGTAGTAGTAGTAGTAGTAGTAATAGTAGTAGTAATAATAGTAGTAGTAATAATAGTAGTAGTAGTAGTAGTAGTAGTAGTAGTAGTAGTAGTAGTAGTAGTAGTAGTAGTAGTAGTAGTAGAAGTAGTAGTAGTAGTAGTGTCCTTTGGAGCATGTTTGACAAAGAACTCTTGGCAACTATTGCAACCGATGTAATAGCAAGAAAGAGACACAGCACTTTTTTTTAAAAGAAAATGTAAACAAAAACGCATGCAAATATCTAACTTATGTAAACAATAAACTATGTTTATAGTTTACATAAGTATATATTTCAAATGTAAACTATGTAATGTTAAACCATATATCAAGTTTTACAGTTTTACTTTCACTTGAAAATTGGATTGCGGCAACATCTCCTTAATTTTGATCTTTAACATTACTGTTTTATGAAGTCTTGTTAGTTGAGTAGTTTTTTATGAATTAAATTTATTATTAATCTTTTATAATAAGTTTTATTAAAAATTTATTAATAAGTCTTTTATGAATTAAATTTATTAATAATCTTTTATTAACAATATAATAAGAAACGGTTTATCTAAAAGTAAATTAATTAATATATTAATTAAATTATTTAAAGATGTGTTGTCATTTTTATCGTAGTTGATATCTGTATCATATCGTTTGTTTGTCAATCTTAACAAAGGTTTCATTAAATGAAGCAAAAATGTTGAAAGGCAAAACTGCAAAGAAAAGTTTTATATATAGAAAAGTATTCTATTATTCTCTTTCAATCTTCAATCAAATTTAATTTGGTTGAATGTTTAAAACATTATACTTTAATGTTTTGAACATTTTTCATTACACTACGATTTTTTTTTATTTAGAAAAAAAGAATTTCCACTTGCATCATTATTTGCATTCTAATAATAATTTTTTTAATATTAATCACATGCATCTTAATAATGTTTTTTTTATTTTGCTTATTTTAAAAATTTTTTTAATTTAAAAATTTTGTTTGACAAAGCTAAAATAAAAATTTATTTTACTAACAAAAACAAGAGATTCAGTGTTATTAATGATTAAAATGCCCATTCATGATATTCAAAATGCAACTTTAAGTTTAAAAAATGATACAATAAGCATTTGGAAATGAAAGAAAATGTAACTTAAAAACTCATTTTCAATTGAGAAGAAGCATGCTTTAAAATGCAACAACAATGTTTAAAAAAATAGTACAGTTGCAGTTTGGTAAAATTATTATATATAACGCACTGTAGTGAACTGATTGTTAAACAAAGTATTTTTTTTTTATTATTTAGTTTTTTTTTAAATAATTGCAAGGAATAAAATCTTCATAGATCAAAATATAGTTTTACTAATAAGCACACTTTTGTAACAAACTGTGTTTTTGCCCTGCCAGGCTATTGCCAGGCATTTTTTAAAAATTTCAGTCGCCCTTGGAGAAAACGAGTTGTCTCGTGCCACCAGACGACCAAGAGAGTACACCCCTGAATTACATACACAAATAACTTTAAATGGTTTCTATAAAATAGAGTGCTCATTATTCTTAAAAAGAACAGAGCAAAAATAGAAAGATATTCAAGGTCTAATAACTTATTCTCTGACAACCAATATGACTTTTGATCTACTTGTTCAATAGCTGATTTGCTAACTGTTGTAACAAAAACATTCCATCATGCATTAAATAGATGAAACGATGCATGAATAGAGGCAGCGAGGCAAGGGCTATTGCTCTTGTTATATCAATATTTTTAAATAAAGTTTGGCATCCTGGCTCTCTAGAAGTTAACTTCATATGGTGTATCTGGAAAAAGTTTCTGAGATTATTAAATTCTATTGTGAGATAATTAAATTCTATTGTGTTATTAATTTTTCATATTTTTCTAAATGCAGTATTAAAGTTATCCTCAAAGGGCAACACACTTCATTTCCAGACCAGATTTCTTCATTTCCAGTAACTTACGAGGTACAACAAAATTCTATCCTTGGACATGTTTTGTTTCTTACATTAATGATCTCTCATATCTACATTAATGATCCTCCTTACAATCTTACACCTAAAGTGATTTTATTTGCTGACGACTTAACTTTATACTCCTGTCTTGACAAAAAATCTTTACTTTTTAATTATCAGCCAATCTTGAATCTAATCTCTCCTCTGTAACAGCTTGGAGCTTGCAATGGGTTGTGAATTTAAACTCCAATAAAACTCAGTTAACTCAAAAAACTATTGCAATATTGTTGATATACATTATTGAATCATATTAACAAATGACAACTCTCTAACTGAATTCTTTTCTTTGCCAGACCTTATTTTAAAGCGTTCCACAACTTTTACATAAGCGTTAAGTTGTTTTATGCATAAAAAATAAAAGGCCTAAAGCAATTTCGATTAAACAACTTTGTATTTTTTTAATGATGTTTAAAGATGTTTTTTTAGGCTGTTAGACAAAAGAAGTAATTAATAAAATTATAAAAACCACTTAGTAAAAAAATGTTATTTAAATATTTGAATGACGATTATAAAAACAAGTTAAATAAGTTTAAATGACAACTATGTTTGATATAAGCACTATTTACAATTGAATTAAATTCAGATAAAATTAAAAAACAAGAAAATTTAATTTCTATTTCAATTTTATTTAAAAATATTACTAAATTTTGTTTAATAATAAAGTTTTAATTTTCCTTAAAAAAAAAATCAGATTTGTTTTCTCGATAAAATTGCTGGTTTTAAATCAAAGTTTTTTGCAATAAGTTATATTCTTTGATTGATACTCACTAACTTTAAAAAAATAAAAAATCAATGTTAGCTGCAAAGCTGCAATTACAAATTTAAAAAACAAAAACTAAAAATAATTTAATACATTTATATTCATTTATACAAAATTGGAGAAAAGAAAGAAGTTAGTTTATAATAAATATTTTAAAAAATGTAATACTTAATTTAGATATTTAATATTAAAAACAATATTTCATATTATCTTTACATAAAAGAGTTAACTTTTTCATTTGTTTTGAAATAATTTTAATGAGGGAGTATAAATTCATTTTCTTTAAAAAAAATGCAGAAAATTTTGAATTAGTGCATTAAGTATTTTTTATTTAAAACAAGACCTGCTTTACCTCTTCTTGATTTATCATTCATTACTGACCTCTCATGGAAACCATATTGACAGTTGATTGCAGAGCAAGCTTTACTTTATTGTGCTTGCCATATGCTTACTCCCAATACTATTTTCTACCTCTACATCTCTCTTAATAAAACTTACAAGTCTATTCAGAAAAATTCAGCAAATTTGCATCTTTTTACTATATCTGTCCCTTAATGCTTTGAAAATTTCAATTCATTTAATTTCTTTCCTTACACATCAATGCTTTGGAACTCTTTCTCTCACCTTCCTGACTCTTTTCCTGAATCATACAACAAGTATAGTATTAAGGGACAGATACAGTAAAAGGATGCAATAAAAATATACATTCATATATATACATAAATGTATATATATGTATATTTCCATTTTTGAATAACATTCATTTGAAGTTGATTTAGACAAAAAAATTTATGTGTGCTACTTTTTGGAAGCACTGAATGCATATATATATATATATATATATATATATATATATATATATATATATATATATATATATATATATATATATATATATATATATATATATATATATATTATATATATATACATATATATACATATATATACATATATATATATATATTTATATATATATATATATATATATATATATATATATATATATATATATATATATATATATATATATATATATATATATATATATATATATATATATATACACAAAAAATGTTTTAAACAACATACTTTAAGAGATTTTAAAAGTGTCCAAACCATAATACGAACTCTTTTTCCTTTTCGTAGGAGTTTTAATACACGAGCAACTCTGAATAATCGAAACATTGTTGGATCTAACCCTATCTGCTTTACCTAAAGAAGAATTAACAGCAGAATTATTATATTAAAAAGTTATATTTTATATGAAAAAACAGATTTCAACAGACACTACTTTAAAAAAATATATTTACAAAAAAGTGTTGTATTAAAAAAAAAAAAAAAACATTTTCTTGAAACCGTTACTTAATTGTTATGAATTTCTCTGGTAATTTCTGATTGATATCAATTCAATTAGTTTGAGATTTGTTTTGTTTAGGATAAAGAAATTTTTTTAAATTATTTTATTATGCATATACTTTTTGGCATATATATTTTTCAATATATATGTTTTCAACTTAATATTTATTATAAATCTATACCTAGTAAAAACAATGTTCAAATTGACCTAATCTATCATTATGCTTATGTCTAACTTATGCTTATGTATGCATTATGGTTATGTCTAACATATGCATTATGTAAATAAGCCGTTGCTACTTAGCTGCAAAGTAAAAATATATGTGTATTAAAATTTTGGAAATGGCACACTTTTTGATTTAAAAAAAATCCCTCATAAATCTTAAGTTAAGTTTAAAGTAAATAATTAATTATTTTGTAATAAAATTTAAATAATTTTATTAAAGTAATATCAATATTTTTTTAAAATTAACACGCTGCACAACTGAATCAGAATTTTGTCGAAACTCAAGTAAATCTTTTACTCATAACTGCAAAAAAGTAATTATGAGTCATTAAAATGCTTTTTTAAAAAAACCCAGATATACAAAACAATAAAAAGAAGCACTCAAAAAGAATATAAAGATTTTTTTTTTTTTACTTTACTGTTTTTTTTTAATTATCTTCACTTTTAAGTTTTTTTTGTTGTAACTAATCCTTAAACAAATAAAACTCTTACATAAGTAAAAATAATATCCAAAGTCCTCCTAAAAGTTTATTAAAACTCTTACATAAGTAAAAATGATATCCATAAGTCCTCCTAAAAGTAGAGCTAGATCAAACAAGTTCCAAATATCTTTAAAATAATTCTAAATTGAAAAAAATTATTTTTACACATCTACAAGCATTTTGTTTCATATGCACAAAAATTAAGTAAAATTTATTATTAATTTATTTATTTTTTAAATAATTTTATTATTATAGTCATAACATCTTTTATTTAATAAGACTATACTATTTTAGTTATGTTACTTTATTTTATTTTTATTTAATACATATTTTTATCTACTATAAAATTTATTCTTTAACTAATGAACTAAATTAAAAGAAAATTATATAAATTTTTTTGGTAACCAAATTTGATTTTACTATGATTTTATAAATGTAATTTAGTTTATTAAGTTTATTAAGGTAAGTTAGTTTATTAAGTTTATCAAGGTAAGTTAGTTTAATAAGTTTATTAAGGTAAGTTAGTTTATTAAGTTTATTAAGGTAAGTTAGTTTATTAAGTTTATTAAGGTAAGTTTGTTTATTAAGTTTATTAAGGTAAGTTAGTTTATCAAGTTTATTAAGGTAAGTTAGTTTATTAAGTTTATTAAGGTAAGTTAGTTTATTAAGGTAAATTAGTTTATTAAGTTTATTAAGGTGAGTTAGTTTATTAAGTTTATTAAGGTAATTTAGTAGAAGACATTTGACATTTTTCTATTTTTTGTTGAGTGAGTTAGTTTAGTTTTTATTGCCAATACACTGGACTAACGGTCTTTAGCATTGCTTAATCATAAGACTTTACTTTTATTCAGATTACCTGTCTGTTCATAATGGTTATGAATCTACAGGTAAAGATAACATAAATCCTTATGCACTGCACTATACACTTTAATATGTGACTTTTGACATGCACTTTGACAATAATCGCTATAAGAAATACTGAAGCATTGACGTGTTGAAAATGTGACTCATTTGTTTAAGGGAGATTTTAAATTAAATCCATCAAAATACTGATCAAATTTGTTTACTTCTGTCTTATTGTTAACACTGTTTATGTTACAAATTCAAATTTATTCCACACCTCTCTGACAACCAAAAATCAAATGACAAATTTTAAAAGAATTCAACTTGAACCAACCTAATAAGAAAGAGACCTTGGCATTCAAATTTCCTATTACCTAGAGCTCAATGCTTAAACAGGCATTAAAGCTGCTAAAGCTAATAAAATGCTCAATGTCTTAAAGCACAACTTTTATTTTAATGTTAACTAGATTAGCAGAGATGCAAAAAGCTACATATAAGAAAAAGCTACATATAAGAAAAAGCTACATATAAGAAAAAGCTACATATAAGAAAAAGCTACATATAAGAAAAAGCTACATATAAGAAAAAGCTACATATAAGAAAAAGCTACATATAAGAAAAAGCTACATATAAGAAAAAGCTACATATAAGAAAAAGCTACATATAAGAAAACTACATATATATATATAATAAAAGTTACATATAAGAAAAAACTACATATAAGAAAAAGTTACATATAAGAAAAAGCTACATATAAGAAAAAATTACATATAAGAAATTATGTAAAACTTCTAGAACTTGCTATTGTTGCTATGGTTTCTTTATTTAGAAGAAGAGATTTCTGCAATTAAAAGCATTTAACATAGTGTAAAAAAAGAAAAGAAAAAGAAATGAAGCCAGATATACCAGCTTGACTTCACTTAACTGTCTCAGTTAAAATGCCTTAGTTAATAATATTAAGCAATAATAATACAGATGCCTCAGTTCACAAAGAAACTATGAAAACTCTATTACATTCAAGTAGTTAAAAGCAAATTTTTATTAAAATATCTTAAAGCACAACTTTTATTTTAATGTTAACTAGATTAGCAGAGATGCAAAAAGCTACATATAAGAAAAAGCTACATATAAAAAGAAAAAGCTACATATAAAAAGAAAAAGTTACATATAAGAAAAAGTTACATATAAGAAAAAGCTACATATAAGAAAAAGTTACATATAAGAAAAAACTACATATAAGAAAAAGTTACATATAAGAAAAAGCTACATATAAGAAAAAGCTACATATAAGAAAAAGTTACATATAAGAAAAAGCTACATATAAGAAAAAGCTACATATAAGAAAAAGTTACATATAAGAAAAAGCTACATATAAGAAAAAGTTACATATAAGAAAAAGCTACATATAAGAAAAAGTTACATATAAGAAAAAACTACATATAAGAAAAAGTTACATATAAGAAAAAGCTACATATAAGAAAAAATTACATATAAGAAATTATGTAAAACTTCTAGAACTTGTTATTGTTGCTATGGTTTCTTTATTTAGAAGAAGAGATTTCTGCAATTAAAAGCATTTAACATAGTGTAAAAAAAGAAAAGAAAAAGAAATGAAGCCAGATATACCAGCTTGACTTCACTTAACTGTCTCAGTTAAAATGCCTTAGTTAATAATATTAAGCAATAATAATACAGATGCCTCAGTTCACAAAGAAACTATGAAAACTCTATTACATTCAAGTAGTTAAAAGCAAATTTAGATCAGCACCTAAAATTGTTACCACAATGACTGTGGCTGCTTAAGTTTTGCACTACAAACTAGCTTTGCTAGTTAATGACAAACTTACGAATAATGTATTGATTCTTAATACAAATATATTTAAAACTTAATATACTATCTATAATTCAATATATTTTTTTAAGTTAGTTACTATTTCTATAATATAAATAATAACATTATAATCAAGATATAACTTAACAATATACTTTAACATATATATAATTGAAAATATAGTAGTAAAAACATACTTTTGAATATATATATATATATATATATATATATATATATATATATATATATATATATATATATATATATATATATATATATATATATATATATATATATACTAATATAAAAATAATACCAATTTATATGCAATTATCTTCACAAAAGCTTCAATAAAAAATAGAATGGTGAATCCTATATTAGCTGTTTGCATTGAATTTCGATATCTATCGGTCATTCCATTATACTAAAAAGTATTCATTTGATAATAAAGTTTACAAGTTATTTAAATAAGATCTCTCTTACAAGACATATTTATATATATATATATATATCTTTTTCTATATATCTATATATATCTATATATATCTATATATATCTATATATATCTATATATATCTATATATCTATATATCTATATATATATATATATATATATATATATATATATATATATATATATATATATATATATATATATATATATATATATATATATATATACATATATATATATATATATATATATATATATATATATATATATATATATATATATATATATATATATATATATATATATATATATATATATATATATATATATATATATATATATATATATATATAGATGGTATTCTATTCTTGCATGGTAGTCTAAAAACTTTTCCCATAAACTGTAGTTTTAAAGAGAGTGCTAATTAACCAGACTAGAAATAATTTAAAAACTTAAATTTTTTTTTTTTATTAAATGATAGACTGCTTGCCCTAACCAAACCCTCCATTGTAAGTAAGGCTATAAGATAGTTGATGTAGCAACACTCCCTTGTAGCAGCAGGCTATAAGATAGTCGATGTAGCAACACTCTGCACATGTTTTAAAAATATACTTTAATAAAACAACAATAAAAACACCATTAGTTAAAAAAAAACTTTCTAGTCATTATTATTGCAATTTTTTTAAAAAACAATAAAATTTAATGTACTTCCGCATTAATTTAATTGCTTTGACATTTGGACAACAATAAAATGTAGCTTAATTGTTGACATAACAAAATTGTACTTGAAAGAAGCTTAGTTTACATTAAAATTCTCTTTTGACTACAATATAAGGATTTATTTATATATATATATTGGTTATAGTGTGTATATATATATATATATATATATATATATATATATATATATATATATATATATATATATATATATATATATATATATATATATATATATATATATATATATATATCTATACATATATATATATATAAATAAATAAAAGGTTAGATGAGAAAAAACAACTTTTTTACGGTACTTAAAGTTTCATGTCGTTTTCGGCACTTATCAGCCATATATTATATAATATATGGCTGATGAGTGCCGAAAACGGCATGAAACTTTAAGTACCGTAAAAAAGTTGTTTTTTCTCATCTAACCTTTTATTTATTTATTTATTGATCTATTTTGTGATTATTTCACTTTATATTGATCACTCTCAAATCGAAAAAGAGTTGATTATTATCAAATAATCAAAACAACAATATATATATATATATATATATATATATATATATATATATATATATATATATATATATATATATATATATATATATAAATATATATATATATATATATACATATATATATATATATATATATATATATATATATATATATATATATATATATATATATATATATATATATATATATATGTATATATATATATATATATATATATATATATATATATATATATATATATATATATATATATATATATATATATATATATATTACTTTAAAACAGTTAGCAGAAAAGCAGAAAATGTGATGTCTTCAACATTAATTTACTAAGATGGACTAATGTTGACACATGTTGTGTTTTAGTTTTTTTTTTTTCCTGAAATTTAAATATCTTACATATTTAACTTTATATCATTTCAATATTTTAAATAAAATTTTTTTATTAAAGATATAATTTAGGACTTTTTTATGGATTCTTTAAAAAGTTTTTCGTAAACACAAGTTTAAATATATAATTTTTAAAATATATTTGTTTTTTTAACCTTTTTAGTCAATACCAATACAAAAATTAAAGAAAGCTTCAAATAAACTCAACACAAAACTTAGAAGAATGCAAAATATATTTCAGATATTTTCTACTAAACATTTTCTGCATTTTTTAGTTATGATTTCAAAGTATATGGATATTACTAACAGTATTTTTTTAATTTTTATTATAATTAAATTTTGCCATCATATTAAATAAAATAAAGATGGGTTTAATAAAAGAACCAAACAAAGTTTCAAAGCTTAAAGTTAAAACAATAATAAATAGACAATGAAACTAAAGCTTCCATATTATAGGAGCCAAAATATTTAATTA